ATCACCTTCAGCCATCATTTAAAAGGCATTTTTTATCGTTTGGATAAAAATCAACTATATCTTTCATAAGCATATTTGAATCCACATATCTTTTTTAAAAAATAGGGTGAATCCTTGTATCTTTATTTAATATAAATTATAACTTTAGATACTGCTTACTTGAGTCATTAAAAAAAACTTCATATTTATTCTTTTATTTTTAAACCTTTGCAATTTAATCTTGAATTAGTGACCCTTGTTGATGTCATCAAATTACTATTTCATATATTTATATAAAGTTACTTTCAGATTTTTACTCCGTTCTGTTTCATACACTAGTTTTGAAGCCCTCTAGTTAACCCCACTGCATTCTCCCTGCCACTCCTTGTTATCTAGGTTCTTAGTTTCACTTTAAAACTTCTTTCTGTGTTATGCAAACGTACATACCCATACAGTTATTATACAAATGCATGAATAGACTCCTGTGCACACTGGAAATGCTCTTTATGTTTTAGTGAAGTTTTCCCTTCTAACCGTTCTCCTCTTTTTTTTCACTGAGTTGTACCTTAAAGAAGTTTCTGAAACCAACTACTGTAGTGCTGATTCATTGTTTCAGTGGCTACATAACATCTCAGGTGTCTCCATGCCATTTACACTATTAACTGTTTGTCACATTTTTTCCTCAGTAAACTGCAATTATATCAGTACTACAAATTTTGGGATTGTTTAGTTAAAACAGTCCTCTGTACCAGGGGTGATATTTTTCTTCCAGGGGACATTGAGCAATGTCCAGAGTCATTTTTGGCTTTCACACTGGAGAGGGGTCCTTGGAAAGCCAAGAGTGCTGCTTAACTTCATACAATGCATAGGGCAGACCCCACCACAAAGAATGATCTGGCCCAGGATTTTATCAGATCCAAGGCTGAGGAAGTCTGAGTTACAGATCACCTGCATTTTTTATATTTATAGCTGATTGTTTCCCCAAGACCTTGTAGCAGTGCACATTTCTGCCAGCAAGATTAGACAGCACCCCACTGGCTGGTGATTTAAAAGTTCTAATATCGATAAATGTGACATCTCTGAAAGTTTGAAAGAGATCTCTTGTTTTCTTAAATTATTATTGGATTTCAGGAAATTTTTATATTTGATCACCATTTTGATTTGATTACTAATATACTCCCATTTTTTACAGTTATCAGTTTTCAATTGATGTTTACAGAATGTTGTTTCTGTACTGACTTTTGAAGTGATGTTTATGGTCATAAAATGTTATAAATTTTAGTTAAATGTGTATGTTACTACTTCAGAGTCTAGTCTTAGTTAAGATGGCTTGCTCACATGTAAATTTTACAAGTGTTTTCTAGATATTTGTCTAAAATTGGTGACTTTTATGCTGAGATCTTTAATTCCTCTGATTTATTCTAAATTATGAGACAGGGGACCAATTTCATTTTCTTCCAGACGGAAAGCCATTGATGCCAGATTTTATTTAACTATTCAACCATTTCCCACTAAATTGACCTACAACCTTTTCATGTATTAAATGCCCATATATACTGACGCTTAATTCCTGGTTTATTCAACAAATAATAAATGAGCATTGGCTGAGAATGTGCCAAAGCACACTAGGAATAGTCTCAATTATGTATTTTTATAACTATGTCCTTGACAATTTAATTATTAATCCATCTAAATTTTATTAAATTACTGGTATTTTATATCTTGTTCATTAATGTTTGATGCTCCATTTAGCTCAGTTGTTTTGAGAACTGCTGTATGTAACCATGTGTTATTTCACTGTTACTCATTATATTTCACAACTTTTTATTTTTTTTAACATAATGCACACTAATACAAAGGTACATAAAAAGGATAAAGTGCCTACTAGGTGGATCTTGCATTATGGTGGTGAAGACAGGGTACAATGAATTAAATGTGTATGATGTAATGCCCTCAAGGATACATCACTTGCAGGATGTAATTCAGTGGAAAAGATTAGAAATGTCGTGGTGTGTGCAGGGTGTTACAGAACATGGTCTTGGGAGGCCTATGCATGTTGGACAAAGACCAGACAAGGACTATCATGAGCCCTTTGGATTTGTCTGAAAAGAGATAAAAACTGAGTGTCCAAGAATAACAGAAAAGTTGCCACATGAGAAGTGTGGGAAAAAGTCTTGCTTTATCACCTGTCAGACCACATAAAAGCCAAAAGATTTCTCCTCATATTTCATATACTAAAGCTCAAATTTTGTTGCTCTTTGTGTACTTCTTTTTTTAGATTTTTAATTGATTCCTTTGCTCTTTTTTTTCTTTATGAATGCTCAAACTGACATATCTTGGCACTATTTTTTTCTGAACACCCTATGAAAAAATAAAAAGATAACAACAGTTCTTATCAACTTCCTCCTCTATCTGTTCTTTTTCTTCATAGTACCCATCACCATCTGACTGTTACACAATTATCACTTTATATACTTATAATTGTTTTTTTTTGCTGTGTTATCAGTTATCACTTTATCATGACATTTTATGGACTTTTGTTTCTTAGCACTGATCAATCACTGCCTAGATAGAGAATGCAATGTGATTGTCAATCAATTTATAATCCTCAAATCTATGAAGGAGTTTCTCATTAAAATTTTATACTGCATGATCTTTTGGGAAAAGGGTGACCCTAGATCGAGAATGCGATATGATTGTCAATCAATTTATAATCCTCAACTCTATGAAGAAATTTCTCATTAAAATTTTATACTGCATGATCTTTCTGAAAAGGGTGACAATGGGACAGGGATTTCTATTCAGAGGTAGGAAAGGGGATATACTAAAGAAATCATATTAATACACCAAATAGAGGAATTAGTGTCTGGACAGGTTGGTAAGGCATGTTTGGGTCATGAGGTCTTTCTCTTTTTTTCATAGACACATCAACAATATGAAACTGGGGAATGAAACACGAATATCAGAATTTCTTCTCCTGGGACTTTCAGAGGAACCCGGACTACAACCCATTCTCTTTGGGCTGTTCCTGTCTATGTACCTGGTGACAGTGCTTGGGAACCTGCTCATCATCCTGGTCATCATCTCAGACTCCCACCTCCACACTCCCATGTATTTCTTCCTCTCCAATCTTTCCTTTGTGGACATCTGTTTCACCTCCACCACAGTCCCAAAGATGCTAGTGAATATACAGACGCAGAGCAAAGTCATAACATATGAAGGCTGCATAACCCAGGTGTGCTTTTATTTACTCTTTGGAATTTTGGACACCTTACTCCTGACCGTGATGGCCTATGACCGGTTTGTGGCCATCTGTTACCCCCTCCAATACACAGTCATCATGAATGTCCGCCTCTGTGGACTCCTGGTTCTTGTGTCCTGGATCATGAGTGCCCTGAACTCCTTGTTCCATAGTTTAATGGTTGTGCAGCTGTCCTTCTGTACAGACTTGGAAATCCCCCACTTCTTCTGTGAACTTAACCACGTTGTCCACCTTGCCTGTTCTGACACCTTTTCTAATAACATGGGGATTTATGTTGCAGCAGGGCTGTGGTTTTGTGGACCCCTTATTGGGATCCTTTACTCTTACTCTAAAATAGTTTCTTCCATATGTGCAATCTCATCAGGTCCAGGAAACTATAAAGCATTTTCCACCTGTGCATCTCACCTCTCAGTAGTCTCCTTATTTTATTGTACGATCATAGGTGTGTACCTTAGTTCTGCTGCTACACAGGACTCACACTCAAGTGCAACAGCCTCAGTGATGTACACTGTGGTCACACCCATGCTGAACCCCTTCATCTACAGCCTGAGAAATAAAGACATACATGGGGCCCTGAAAAGACTCTTCAGAAGGAAGCCATAAAAGAGCTGTTTTTCAAGAATTGTCTGTGATTACAGGGCTCTAAGCTTCAGAAGCGGACATTAAAATTCTTTGATCAGTTCATGGAAGTACGACTTGCCATTTATTTCCTTCTATTTCAATTTCATTATTTTCAACTGCTTTATCCACTTTACATAACTCTCTTTAGTAACGTTCTGCTCTCTCTGATATCTGATATTTTTTCCCTTTCTCTTTTTCTACTTTCACAAAGTTATTCCCCACTTTGCATCAGAAACATTTTGGAGATATCTGTTCATTTCATATGGTGATGAGTTGTACAAGTTTTAGAGAATAAACTACACTTGGCAACTGAGGCTTTTTATATACTTTTTTTATAAAAGAAATTATAGACCACAGGTTTTCAGTTTTGTGTCTATCATTTCTTTCTATATGACTACCTTAACTTCTTTATAACATAGACTTGAACATACTAGAAGATTCACAGTTGATAATTTGATTTTATTCTGGTCATTATGATACTGTTCTCTCTTTATTTCCCCCCCTCAGCAACTATTTTTAAAATATTTTTACTTTTATAAACAATTTATTTTAATTGACAAATTTTAATTACACATATTTAGCTTATATACAATCACGTGTTTTGATACATATATATGTTGTATCATAACCAAGTAAGAGTAGTTAACAATGATTCTTTTTATTTATTTCTTTATCTATTTATTTATTATAATTTAACAATATACAATGTAGTTGATTTTTGTATGGAAAGGAGGAAGGAGGATTCTATTCTCTTATACAGCAAAGTGTTCACAGTGTTCACAGCCACATTCCCTGGCACAGAATAGTAATGAAATTTTGCCTATCAAATATATGTTAAAGATTTAATCTATACAGAAAGAAAAATTAGCATCCAACAGTTCTCTGGTGTCTCTCTGTGTCTTTTTTAACTGACAGGTAAAATTGTATGAGTTTATCTAGTACAACATCATATTTTGAAGTATTTATACATGGTGATATGGTTAAATCTAGCTAATTAACAAATGCATTATCTCATCTAGTTATCATTTTGGGGAAAGAGCTCAACATCCATTCTCTTTGCATTTTTAAAGAATATAATATATTGTTATAAACTATGTTCACTGTACTGTACCCTAGATGTCTTGAAGTTATTCCTCCTATCTCACCATAATTATGTATCTTTTGCCAACATCTTTCCAACTTCACCCCACTCTCCAACCACTCCAGCCTTTGGAAACCACCATTCTATTCTCTACTTCTATAAGCTCAACATTTATGATTACACAAATGAGACCATGTGGTATTTGTCTTTCTGTGCTTGCATTATTTTACTTAGCATAATCTCCTCTAGGTTCTTCCGTATTGTTAAAAATGACAGTATTTCCACTTTTTAAGAAAAGTGAATATAATGCTTTTCAGTGATCTTGGTTTTTCCTTAAAAATACCCAATGTAGTCTACAAATATGACTCCTTCTATTACCCTAAACAAAATATTTCCCCCTTTAAAATTTTTTGTCATATACACGAATATCCTGGTAAGTGAACAATATGTGTATATACTTGATTATAAATTGTATTTTGTCTTGTATGTTCTAAATGCTCTTCAATGCTCATGAGCTGTGGGTGACTCACTCAAGAGCTTGAATCCTACCAAGTCAAGCCTGTAGGGATGATGACTTGCAAATTGCAGGAATGAGTTTTTGGTGGACAAACATACATGTTCTTCCAATCATTCCCAACTACCTGGAATGGAATTTCATTGATTGTCACATTTTAATATAATTATCTAAAGTACATGTAAATAACCTGGTGATCAGTAATGTTGCCTTCAAATACATGTAGCAGATTATTCTGGATGTCCTCAGTTCTGCTTGCATGATTATTGCATCAGGAAGCTATTGCTGCATAACAAGCCACCCCCAAATAAATAATAGGTTAAAGTGATGTTTTCTTTTTCTTTTTTTTTCATATAGGAGTCTATGTTGTGTGGGTTTATTGGTCTCCTCTGGTCTCCTCATGAGTCTGTAGTCAGATACAAGTCATCTGGAGGTGCTCTGCTAATCTTGTTTGGGTTCTGTCAAGATGTATTCATGTGGTGAAGGACATGTGATGAGCAAGGTCTCTATGTAGAACCTTATGCAAAATTTATCTGCAGAATGTCCTTGATTTTCTCTCAGTCACGTCCTCCCTTAGTCTCACTCTGCTCCCTTTCTCTTTCCAAGTCTCAATTTCCGGGTCTTCAATTTCACCAGCATGAGCTTTCTTCAAATCTGATCTGTGATCTGTCTTGCCATTCCCACCCTTCTGACATTTTCTACTATTTCACTAGAGGCATGCATACCCTCCGTGTCACATAAAACAATTGTTTTATGTAAACATGATATTCACACAATACGTGCACTATAAATATTCAGCTTGAGGAGTTTTCACATAGCTTTATAACCGGAAGCTAGAGTCTTTCTCATGTGGCCTGTCTTCTAAACATACACTCCCACCACCGACATAACCATTATTCTGACCCTAATACCACATGTTAGCTTTGATTAGTTTTGTACTTTATAAAGTAAAGCATGTGGTATATCTTAGTTAATGTCAAGTTTGTTTTATGGGTTCATACATATTGTTGGATATGGTTGTAGATCAATCATTCTCATTGATGTATAGTAATCTCTTGTCTGACTATACCCATTTTTATGTACCCCATTAAAAAATTAATAGACTTTATATCTCGGAGAAGTTTTCATTTTACAAAAAAGGTGAGTGGAAATTTCAGAGTCATAGTATTCCTCCTCAACCACCACACAGTTTTCCCTATTATTAACATCTTGGATTAGTGTATTTAATGTGTTACAACTGAGGATCCTATATTGATACAGTATTATTATTACCTAAAGTCTATAGTTTATAGTAGGGTTAACTCTGTGTTGTACATCCTATGGGTTTTGACAATGATATGTGTCCACCATTAGAGTATCATACAGAATAGTTCCATTGCCCTAAATATCCTCTGTGTTCCAGGTATTCATCTCTGCCTGCCTTTCTGTGAATCCAAGGCCAACACTGATATTTTTTACTAAGTCCACAGTTGTCCCTTTTCCAGAATGTCACACAGGTGGAATCACACAGTATGTAGACTTTTCAGATTTGACTTCATTCACTTATCAATATGCATTGAAGTTTCTTCCATGTATTTTCATAGTTTTGTAGCTCATTTTTATTGCTTAATGATATTTCATTGTATAAATATACCACAGTTAGATATCCACTTACCTATTGAAGAACATATTCATTGCCTCCACATTTTGGCAATTATAAATAAAGTTGTTAAAGATATTTCTGTGAAGGTTTCCATGTGAGTGTGTGCACACCTATTCTCCACATCTTTGAAAGCATTTTGTGTTGTCAGTGTTTTGGATTTTAACTATTCTAATACATGTGTATTTGATTCTTGTTATTTAATTTGCAATTTCCTGATGACAGATGATGTTAAGGGTATTCTCATATGTTTATTTGCCAGTAGTATATATTATTTAGTTTGGTGTCCATTCAGTTGTTTTGCCTGTTTTTCAAATTGAGTTGTTTCCTTATTTTGTGTTTTTAGAGTTCTTTGTATATTTTTAATACCAGTCATTAATCAGATACATGTTTCATAATGGTTGTCTCCCAATCTTTTGCTTGTATTTTGAATCTCCCTACAGTGTCATTCCCAGAATCAATTTTTAAAATGTTAATAAAGTGACACATCATTTTTTTTCCTTATGTGGGTCGTGCTCTTTGTATTGTATCTAAAATGTCATTGCCACCAGTGCGCATGGAGCAGGGAGACATTCAGCAGGGGAGGCGGAAGCTCCTCAGAGAACACATGCCCAGTGGTGCTGGCATGTGACCCAGCAGCCCAACTCAGTGTGCGTGGAATAGGGAGACATCCAGCAGGCGATGCAGAAGCCCTGCAGAGACCAAACGCCCTGAAGTGACATGCTGTGACACAGCAGCCTGGTCGAGTGCATGCTGACCAGAGAGGCACCTCCTCAGAGTGGCTGAAGACCCAAGACAACCACACATGAAGACCAAGGCCCAAGGCAACCACACATACAAGGCACTAATGGCCAACTGAGCAGACACTGAGGTAGCCATACCAAATTGGCAACCCCAACAACATCCTAGACAGACTACTGTTAGTGTCAAACCTGTGGACTGTGAAACTCCCTGCCACAATGACTAAACATCAAAGGAAAGATACCAGAAATATGAAAAATCAAGAAAGTACACCACCAAAGGGTATTAACTCTCAAGTTCTAGATCGTAACGACCCAAAGATAATAAATCTCAAGCTCTAGATCCTATAGTACAAGAATCCCTTGAAATGTCTGACAAGGAATATCGAGTGATAATTCTAAGGAAACTTAAAGAGATACAAGAAAACTCAGCTAGACAACATGATGAAAATAGGAAAAGTATACAAGACCTGAAATAAGAAATGTACAAGGAAATCAATGCCATGAAAAAGAATGTAGCAGAGCCTGCTGAGTTGAAGAATTCATACCATGAATTAAAAAAGACAACAGAGAGTTTAACCAGCAGGCTTGCAGAAGCAGAAGAGAAAACTTCTGACCTTGAAGATGGGCTGTTTGAAATAACACAGGCAGAGAAAAAGAAAAGAAAAAAGAATTAAAGGCATCGAAGAAAATCTGAGAGAGATATCAGACAACCTTAAGCGCTCAAATATCTGAGTCATGGATATTCCAGAAGGGGAGGAAAAAGGAGATTGTCTTGAAAACATATTCAACAACATAGTGGGAGAAAACTTCCCAGGTATAGGAAAAGTCACAGATCTTAAGATTCAGGAGGCTGAAAGATCCCCAAACGTATTCAACCCAAAAAGGTCTTCTCCAAGACATGTTACAGTCAAATTGGCAAAACTCAAACACGAAGAGAGAATCATAAAAGGTGCAAGACAGAAGAGTCAAATCACCTATAAGTGAGCCCCAATCACACTAACATGA